ACTTGTATCCTCATACACATTCTACATTAATGGTCTTATACAATATTTGTCCTTACGGGACTGAGTTTGTTCATTTAGCATAAAGTTCACCAGTCTGAGGTAAAACTGCCTACAGGTAAAATATTTGCTGGCCACTGTTTTAAATAGCCGTCTGCTCACTGGGGAGCTCTGGCGGCTTACTACTGTAGAGAGCTGTGCTTCTAAACCAAAGGCAGTGTTTCTCTGGTAGTTCAAATCCACCAGCTGCTCTGCAGAAGAAAGACTGCATTTTTCCTTGATAGTCACTCTCCTCCCATGTGGTTTACAGCTTAGGAAAACCCTCTGGCTGCTCAGCTATGAGTCAGTGGTAATGGGTGGAGAATAGAGAGTACCCTAATATATGGTATTGATTTTACACAAGTTTCCTTTAAAACACCAGCTCTGTTTTCCTATTTTCCAACAAAAATAGACTTTTACTCTTGTATTATCTTCATTTAATGATATTTTCCTAACATTTTATGTTCTGAGGAATAAATGCACTACATGAAGTCAATTAAATGTATGTGAACTAAACATGTAAATCCACACTTCATGTCAACATACACTAAAAACATCAAAACTAAAAAGACTGGCACAAATGTTAGCGAGGATGTGCAAGTAGCATCCAGAATTTCTGAATACTGCAGAAAGACACATAAAATGGAAAACCACTCAGAAGCTTCTTATACCATTAAACGATCCTTTCCCCACCTACCAAACCTGGCAATTCTACTCCTACACAGTCACTCAAGAGAGAGAAAATTACATCTGCAAATAACCTATATAAGTAGATTCACAACAACTGGACTCATAATAGCCAAAAAGTAAAAGCACTCCAGATGTCCAACAACAGGAGGAAGGAAAACAAATAGGACAGTTAGACAATAAAATTAAAAACGAACAAATCCTTTAACAACAATACAAGTCTCACAAAAATTTTTACGAAGATGACCAGTTAAAAAAAAAAGAAAAGGAATACATACTATATGATCCATTCATAACTCGTTCTAGTCAAAACTAATCTATGATTAAAAACCTGCTACTTCTAGGGCAGTATTACTGATTAGGAAGGAGAACAAGGAATTTTTCTAGGATACAGAAAATTATCACTTAACTTTTTCAAATGTAATCAAATTATGTATTTATTCTTTAATGGAAACTTGTAAAGAGTGAGAATGACAAATTGCAACTATTAATCTCTGAGTAGCTGGTATCAACATATGTTTTATCAGGTAGTTAGAGAATAAATAAATCTATTGTATATATCTGTATGTATGTTATTTTAAGAATTATACTGTGTATCATATATGTATATAACATATATTAAACAGACAAGCGCATTTCCCAGCCTTGTCTACTAAGAGAATTTATATACCTATAATCTATATGCTGGTTTCTAAATACCTTTGTCATCTGAAAAGAGCCAGGACTTAAAAAAAATCAAGTGTGATCATTGGTCTGTGACAGAATATGTGATAAGCCTGACAACATATGATTGCAGTGGAAACTAAGGAAATCCTCAAAGAATGAAGCAAATCTCTTACTAAGAAGGATTCTATTTGAAAGGATGCTAACTGGCTGATCATGCGACAATTTGTGCATCAAATAAATAAATAAATGATATAACGAATCATGGTCCATTGAATAGAATCAAATTCCAAAGTACAAAGTAACTAAATAACTAAATCAATAAAGCATAATGCTCACAATTTCCCATAAAGTATTATTCTTTATAAGGGAGATATAGCTACTAATTATAGAAAATTATTTACCAGTTGTTGTTGTTGTTAAATGCTGTCAAGTCGTAGACAAGTCATAACGACCCGATGTACGAAAGACCTGAACATCTGTATAACTTTGGTCGTTTCTCCATGTTTACACAGCTTCGTGGAGGCAAGTCATTTTGGAAATGGATCCACTCCTGCTTCCAAGCTTGTTTTAATCAGAAGCTCTACCAAACACTCTCCTCCACATGTAACCATTATCGCATTTAGCACATCAGTGTCACGGCGTTTAGCATTGCAGCAACCACAAGTTACAGCAATGAACAGACCAGTAAAAAGGAAAATATTATTTGGAGACACTTTATGATAATCTTCCATCACGGCTGTTGTTATGTATCATCAAGTTGCAACCAGCCCATAGCTGACCCTCCAGCGTGTTTTCTGTGGCAGTTAAATTGCACTGGAGGGGATTGCTCCTCTTTCTTTTGCTGAGAAGCTGGTGGATATAAACCATGTGCCTTCGGGATTGCACCACAGTTTCTTGCCACTAGGCCTTCAGAGCTCATTCTATAAATATGGAATGTTCCGTTTCCTAGCTTTAACTGTTACAGTCACGTATTGTTGTTGTTGTTAGGTGCTCTGAAGTACGACTCATAGCAACATTATGAACAAAAGTGAACCCTGCCCTATCCTGTGCCATCCTCACAATCTCTGACACACCTGAGCCCCTGCTGTGGTGAATTGTGTCGACCCATCTGATTGAGAGTCTTCCTCTTTTGCTGACTCTCCATCTTTCCAAGCAAGATGATGCCCCTTTCCAAGGAACAGCTTCTATTCCTTGACATTTCTTGTTAGGAAATACAGATGTATTCGAAGGAAACAATGTCCCAAATCTTCTCTCAAGTGATTAAGGAAAGAGATATGGAGAAGAGAATGATAAAGGAGTGAGGAAAATGTAAAAATCTGGGGAATTCAGTGAGTGGCATGTATGATTGGGATTTTTTTTTTGTTGTTGTTGTTCCCTTGATTAGAATTACATCAAAAGAAATTCCATTAAAAAAACTAAAAGCTACCCCAAAAGTCAATATACAATGGTTAGATAAACATAATCAATTCCCAAACTTAAGTCTAAGAAATGGTAATAAGTTTTCTGAAAAAATAGAAGATTTCACGGCCTAGTAAACGTGCTCAATACAATCTCTTCTTGAAGATCTTCCGTAGCACTTCAACAGGTAAAATTTATTTACCTGAGTTTTGACTTTTGGGTTTTCTTAAATCAGAGGAGAGTGCAAACACAGCTCTCCACTACTAAAAATTATGTAGTCGAGTTCCCCACATTTGGGGAAGCTGCAGGGGTCAGAACGTCCAGAATGCAATGGCTAAGCCTCGTGCTGGGAAAACCACCTTTGTGATTACGGTATCTCTTCTGCCAGCTAAGCATTTTTTGCCCAACATTTCACAATAATCTCCTTAGAAAACTTCGTTAAAATAGACTATCCATTAAAACCTGAAAAAAATTAATATTCCATGGAAAATAGTTGTAGAACCATAAACATATATATGATTAACTGAAGAAAGAGTGGTACCAGAAAAAAAACTAAAAAGAGATACACACCAATACAGAGCAAAAAGTTAAAAGATTCACTAGCTTAAGAGTAAGAAGGGGAGAAAAAGATTTTTTTAAAACTCTGCATCAAAAATGCCTCTGCCAGGCCATCTCTGTTACTTTCTTATTAAAACAAATGATAATAATAGACGGAGCTCTGGTGGCCTAGTGGCAAGAAGCTGCACTGCAATCCCAGAAATACAGGGTTCGAAACCACTAGATGCTCTGCTGGAGAAGGAGGGGCAATCTCCTGCTGTACCAGTCAGATCCAATTTGATGGTACACACACATAAACAAAAATAATAAAAACTTAAAAATTAAATAATAATAATAATAACCCTACTGCCAATTTGCACTAATAACAGCCCTAATTATTAATTTACCCTAATTATTTATTATTATTACCTAATTATTATCTAATTACATATAGGTATATATACGTAATTATATATATTATATCTATTATAATAATATATATAACTTAAATATATAATATAATTACCTAATTATTAATTAACCCTAGTAATTTGCACTAATAATAGTATAGTACAGGACAGAAGTGACATTAAGGGGTTCTGAGGCTATAAACCTCTGTGGACGCAGACTGAATCATCTGACTACCAGAGAGTGGCTGATGGGTTTGAACCACTGACTTTCTGACTAGCAGATCAAATGCTATTGGGGCTCTTCAGTGTTATCCTAGAGGCTATTTTGTAAAGAGGATTTGGTAGACTAGATTTGAGTTCTGGCTCAGCCATCAAACGGAATGTATGTTTTCTAAGTCACTATGACTCCAATTCACTCTACGAACTGTGTGACAGAACCAATTCCTTGCTTAGTGAGCATCTTTTACTAGGGCATATATTGCTGATGGCACAGTGCTAAGCTCAGTGAATACATGATGGGGAGAGAACGTCACTCTTGTCACCCATGAGCTAGCAGGCTAACACCAGAAATGGCAGAGTGAGCACTGGAAGAAGGGCGAGTATTTTTGCAGGAACACAAAAAGGATACCTAACTTGGGCAGAGAAGGTTCACAACATTTTCTTGAGGAGCTGATACCTAAACTGGAATAAATTAATGCACGCACATTTTCTCTGAGGGAGCTCTGGTGTCCTAGTCTGTAGGGCTTTTTGCTACTAATCCAAAGGTCATGTCTCTCCGGCAGTTCAAATCCACTAGCTGCTCCACAGGAAAAAGATGGGTAATCTCCTCCCATGCAATTTATAGCAGCAGGAACCCAGTGGACGGTCACTTAAGGGTCAGTTCCAACTCAATGGCTATGAATTTTTTAGTAAGGTTCTTTAGAAATAACAGTGAAAAGGTTTTCTTTTTCTTCTTCCCCCAACCCCATTTTATTTTACACATCCAGTGTTGGACTGTACCTCTAGGACATCACTATATTAACAAAAATGAGAATGTGGCCTGAGGCTTTTCAAAAGTAGTGCAATTCAAAATCCAAGAAGACCGTGACACTGAGTCTGCCACAAGACATCGTTTTTTAAGTTCTTCCAAAAACACCTCTGGACTTACCTAAGTATTCAAGTGGGGAAGTAAAAACAATTGGAAAAGAAAAACATTTAAAGAACAAACAGGGAAAAAATCAGAAATAGAACACGAAGAGAAGACAAGAAGTGATAAGTATTGTTTACCTGTCAGCTGACATTGATTAATCTTGTGTTCTGTGATATCGCTCAGTGATTCAAACACCTGCAGGCAGCTGTCACAGCTGTGCACAGCTTCGTCTTCCAACTCCTCCCCGTCTTCCGGCCTCTTCTTACAATCTATAGCCTCTCCATCTTCAGTCTTGTCTTCAAGTTTACAGTTGGGGTCTGAAAGAAAATCAAGACTGTAAGTATGGGGTTTACAGACAGGTCCTTTTAAAGAAACATTTAATCTTCTTGCTACCAAAAACAGACACACTATTTTCCAAGAAGCTACAACAGGAGAAAGTTATTGCATATTTCATCATAGAGTAATCAAGAGTCATCCCTCTAACTGTTCAGTTTGTGATCATTGAGGCAAGATCTCCCCTCCACCACTCCCCACCCCACACCCTTTGCCCACCTCCTTCAAAACCCCTAAGGGTTGTAACTTTATCCTTTTTTTCAAGTTTTCTACAGAATTTCACTTAAAAGAGATAAACCGCTTGGAAAATTAAAGTCTCCAATGCAAAGGGGAAAACCACTACGCCTAAGAATGAATTCCTTTTCTGCTAAATATACTCTTTCACAGGAAATTACCAGAATTAACCAAAAGTCTGGAATCAGCTAAGCTAATTACCATAGGCATGAAATTGACCTTTACTTATAAACTGGTCAAAACACACAGAAACTCTATTATTTATCAGAGAGCACTAGCAAAATAAACTGTACCACACAGAAAAACATTGTTATAGACACAGACTCTGGTGTAAATATACTGGTACATGTCTGCTCTCAAAATAATCAAGAAAAGAAACAAAGACTATAAAAGAGCAAGTAACCACAACTTGAGTTGGCATTATCAAAGCTGAAAAGTTAAACACTGTGAAAACTAAAAATAGCTTAATCATTTTAATACTAGGAATGATGCACATTCAAGAGGGAATAAAAAGAGTAAAGCTCAGAAAATGTTTACACTGAAGCTCAAATAAATACTTGCTGGCTAGTACATAGTATTATATATTATAAAAATACTTGCAGGCCCCTTCTTTGCTCACTTAGGAGCCTTTGGGGCATAGTGGTTAGAGAGTTTAGCTGTACCCAAAAGGTAAGTGGTTCCAACCCACCAGCCACTTGCCAGGAGAAAGATAAGGCTGTCAGCTCCAGTAAATATTCGCAATCCTGCAAATTCTATGGGAAGTTCTACTGTGTTCTTACCGGGACCCAGTAAGTGGGAATCAACTCACTAGCACTGTGTTGTTGTTACATGTCATTGAGTCAACTGTGACTCACAGAGACCCTACGAACGAGGACTCAGAACTGTTCTATCCTAGGAGCATTTATTCAGTTTAGCGAAATAATCCTTAACAGTCTGGTGCTGTTATTCCTCTTTACAGGAAAGCAAGAGAAAGCAGAGGGAGGGAAAGAGAACATGTATGGGGGGTGGGGGGTATAATATAATAAAAGAGGAGCTCTGGTGGCTTTGTCCAATGGGAGGTGTTCTTCTAATCCAAAGGTGGTACCACTCCGGCAGTTCAAATCCACCAGCAGCTCTGCGGGAGAAAGACCATCTCCTCCCATGAGATTCACAATCTCTCCAAAACCTGGTGAAGGGTCGGCCATCAGTGGATTCTGACTTGATGGCAATGAGTGAGTATAATTAAATCACTACCTTAACAGTGCGATTGGCACAGGGCAGAGCGGAGTTTAGGGCTGTTGTACATAGGGTCGCTTGAGTCGCAAGCGACTCGACAGCACATAACAACAGCAACAACAACAACCTTAATTTTTATATTAGTAGATTAAACATTTTAAATCCTACAACTCAAGTATCCACACAATCAAAACAATTCACAAATTTCTTGGAAAAGTCATCACTGGGATACCACCATCCTGCTCTCCTGCTGCTCCCTGCTGCCTGGTCTGTAAACATTTCAAGAGCCTTACAAACAGCTTAGATACCCTTTTTTTGGTTAGTTTTTCCAAAGTCTTCCTTCAAATCTTAAATAAGCTACAGCAGTCACCTTTAAATGACTCATACATCCTGGAATCAAGTTACATTTCAACATACATAACAACCTTTTGAGCTAGGGGATAGGGTGGGGAAGTCTTATCTTTAAAGAATAAGGAGTTAGGTTTTCTTTTAAAGACTATACCACTTAAATTGCTAATTTGGGTTGATCTGCCATCTGCAAAATCATTATTTCAACACTCTGCTGCAGTGCCCACGTCTATGCCCAGAGGTCTGGAGTCCTCACTCCTCGGGGAATAATTGCTACATCTTTCTCATTTGTCTTGTAGTCCTCCAGCACAGCACCATGTCCAGATGAGTGCTTAGTAAAAAGTATTTGTTGATAATTGAGAAGGAAAAGGAGAAAAAAAATATAGTAAAAGATCTGCACTAGTGTTTCTTCTATAAACAGAAACAAACCCTATCCATCCACTGAATTAAACCGTATCCATATGCCTCCATTTTCCAAAAGTGACACAATACAATCCTTCTCATTTGTGTTTTCTGTTTTCAAATGTTTCACCAAGAGCTACAGGTGCAACAAAGGAGTGAGTCAAAGATCTCCAACAAACTAAAACCAAGTGGTAAAATACTGTCAAATTAGACAATATTCCTGACAATAAATATCAGCCACAATGATGGCAAAGTGGCCCAGCACCATTAAACACTTGTTGGAAGGCAACATTCACACCCTGAATGCCATCATTGTTAAGCATGAGTTCCCCATTTCTCATAAAACTGACAGCACTCAAGAGAAATAATGGGTGCTAGGCCTGAATTTTAATGATTCTTTAAATGCTACCCATCAAGTCTGCAGACCTGTTTGTTTTAAATAAGGAGAAACTCTGAATACTTCCAATAATATGCAGAGGAAAATAGGGCTGTTGTTTTTTTAAAAAGAAACTTGTCTTCCTTATTAAATTCAAGAATATGGACACTTTATAAGAATCCAATAACAAAAACACCAGACAAATAAGAATGTATGATGCTTTCTCCTATAAAAGAAAAAAAAATCCTTGCTTCTTACATTGTGACTAGTTATTAAAATGAGGGTCATTTTAAGACTAATAAAAAATGTTTTTGCTTCCCCTTCTGCATTTACAGATAGAACCCTTCAGGGACTGAAGTCAGTCAAGCTTATTCACTTCTGCTGCAACTTTAGGATGCATGCTCCAGCCAAGTGGCGAATTTGTTTTTAGGTCAACACTTAAGAGGGGCCCACTGGGAGATGGGTTCGATTATAGGCTGGGATGCCGTGCGGTAATGAGTCCTGGAATCTCAGTCTCTCTCCTTCTAAGTAGATTTTTCCAACATCCACTTTCACAAAAAAAGTATGCCCTGGCCATTCAAAATATTTGTTTCATTGCATTAGAGGTTTCCAATCCTAATGCCACTTGATGTAGGAAGATTCCAGAAAGCTTACACTGTCCACCATTTCATCCCCACAGGTGGCTACACTTCAAGAGTGGCACATGGCCTTAGTTATGGAGTTTTTATACAGTCCTTTGAGATCTAATTATAAAAAATAACTGTATTACTCTGCAAGCCATTCAAATCTCTGACTTCTATCTGAGGGGTTATAAATGTAAGGCCCATGCCTTTGAGTCACACCAACCCCCAAACACCACTGACAAGTGTTCTTCCAACTCTACTGTTTTGCCATAAACCCACTCCATGAACATTTTAAAATATCCTCATACCCAAGCACTGCAAGAACAAACCCCACTGTTGCTACCACTTCTGTTATCTCTATTCCTCCCTAAATGACGCCACCACCAAACCATGTCAGATCCGTCCCCACCACCCAACCACGTCAGACCTGTTCCCACCGTCCAGCCATGTCAGACCCATTCCCACCACCCAATCACATCAGATCCATCCCCAACACCCAACCACGTCAGACCTGTTCCCACCACCCAACCAAGTCAGACCCATCCCCAACACCCAACCACGTCAGACCTGTTCCCACCGCCCAATCACATCAGCTCCATCCCTACCACCCAACCAAATCAGATCCAGCCCCACCACCCAAACACATCAGATCCATCCCCATCACCCAACCACATCATATCCAGCCCCACCACCCAACCACATCAGATTCAGCCCCACCACCCAATTACATCCGATCTATCCCCACCGCCCAACCATGTCAGATCTGTCCCTGCCGCCCAGCTGTGTCACATCCATCCCAGATGTTCTCATCTGCACAAAACACCTTCCCTCTTCTCCATAAAAAAAGTATGCACTAAAGACTGTTCTGAAATGGTTAATGTACTTTCATAACAAAGACACAATTATTATAAAAAAAATGAGTGGCAGCTTTCTGTTTCCAATTTTGTTACCATTATTTATAAGTGGAAACCTGGGGAGGAAAAAAAGCCTGATTTTCCCCCTTATTATATTCTCTAGCAGGTGGTGCTTTCCTTCTTCTCATCCTCCTCTTCATAAAGACTGTTATTGCTATAACTTGGTTTAATAAAATTACAACTTTGGGGAAAATAAAATATTGCACTGGCTTAAAAGTGTTGGAGGCAATAAACCTATGGACTTCAATTAATTTCAAGTGTAGGATCGGTTTAAGGCCAACCAGCCAAAATTCTGTTCTGTCCATGTAAAAATGAGGTTTCACCACATTTACTTTTTATAACCTATATAAAAGTCAAGTAAAAGTCATGAATATCTAAAAGCCATCTCAGTGGACTGGCAAAGACTATCTATATTCTTGAAACTCATCCTACATATTTCTGTCTGTGCAACAAGGATCCCATGCCTGACCAAAGCTAAAATGTCAAACTACTGAGAAAACAGCCCAATTTCCAATCCACTTCACTGCCTAGAAAGGGCCCTCTGTCCAAGCCACTTTTGCATGGAAAAGCACTAGCAGAAGAAAGAAAAACTAAAGGATCATGTGGTTATAATTATTACCAGGCAAGGAATATTTCTGCAGCTCAGTGGTAAAGTAAAACTCTGTCGCTCTCTGCTCCCAATAGTGTCCATCGCAAAACAACTGCCTCATTAAATCTCTGCAGTAAGATTAATATGCCGTAGCTGCACTACATTTATAACTTGGTACTCTATAAAAAGCACATTTAATGGTAAGAGCCAGAGCCTAGATACAAAGTATTACTATAAAAACTTCTGGCAGGGTGTACACAGTGCAGGCCCCTCTGTCCTTCTT